GAAAAAGTTGAATCAGTGACCAATGTGAATGCTAATACCTCAGGCAGTGAACTAATATCCTTGGCTCCTGCCCCATCAGCACCACCTCCTACACTAGCCATGGTGTCCAGACAGATGGGCGACTCAAAACCCCCACAGGCCATTGTGAAGCCCCAGATCCTCACCCACATCATCGAAGGCTTCGTTATCCAGGAAGGAGCAGAGCCTTTCCCGGTGAGGGCGGGGCCGGAGGATGGGACTTTCCAGTGGGGAGGCTTGGACTGACTTGTCTTTTCAAATGCCACTAAAATCTGAAGGCTCAGAGCTATTTAGTTACTAGAGAATGATTCAGTTTTGTTGTTCATTTGGTGAGTTATAAAAGAAGGAAGGGAAAAAGAAATAATATGTGGACCAGAAAATGAAAGTTTTAGGAAGAAGAGAAGGCCTTAAAAGCTGTAATATTTTGTTAGACAAACTAGGTTTGGTTTATAGTGAAGAGAATTGTGGTAGAAAGTTAACGGACTACCCTAAGTACCACGAGTTGCAAAACTATTAATAGAACATAGGTATCCTGACTGCTAGTGCATTCCCTCAACTAAGGAAGGAAAGGACAAAACAGGGAGCCGGCGTAAAAATCTGTTCTCGTGTTTGTCTGAAAAAAGCCTGGTTTAGGCTCTTGATTCCCATATTGGAAATGATTCCCTCTGAACCAGACTTGACCATTAGCTTAGGAATCCAGGCAAAGGCATGATGGGGAGAAATGCTGGGGAAAGCTGTGGAGAAGCAGAAAGGAATTAGGCCAACTTAACTGTGACCCTTTTCTGGGACAGGTGGGCTGTTCTCAGTTACTGAAAGAGTCTGAGAAGCCTCTACAGACGGGCCTCCTGACGGGGCTGAACGAGAGCCAGTCCTGTGGCCCCTTGGGAGGGGACAGCCCGTCTGCTGGTAAGCATTTACTTATTGACCCACCTGGGGAAGGAGGCTCCTGCAGATGTGTTTGAAGACTCAGTGTAAAATAGTAATCATCAATTTAAAGTGGGAATTATACAATGTACATCCAGACAGACACTATATCACATCCTAGAATATGTAGATCATACAAAAGGAATTTCACAGGATTAGGGGGAATTTTGTCAGGCTAAAATAAGCTGTTAAATTATTTGCTATGAGGGTATATTTTTCAAAAGATAGCCTAAATAAAAGAGGATATTTCTAAATTTCCAGTTCTCTTTAGGTTTTATAATCTATATTAAAGACTTACATTTCCTTTCTGCTTTTGGGAACTTTGTGGGAGAGGGATATCTATCTGGGCATTAGAAATGACTTCCTTTCTCCTGTTCAGAAATGCCATCTTGTTTGAAATCTGAGAGTATGAATTGGGATAAAATTAGTAATCAAAATAGAAATAGTCTAGCTCAAGGATAGGAAGACTAAAATGAACATGCCTTTATGATCCTGGAATTTGAACTTGATGCTTTAGGGTGGTTGTAGGCCTTTGGGGGGAAATTCGGAGAGTAATTAGAGTCCAGCTCTGGGCCTACTGAGGGTTTGAGCAGCAGTAGAAATCCATGGCAGCTTTCGAGGGATGCCTTGTTTTTCAGAGCTCGATAAGAAGGCGAATCTCCTGAAGTGCGAATACTGTGGAAAGTACGCCCCTGCAGACCAATTTCGAGGCTCCAAGAGATTCTGCTCCATGACTTGTGCTAAGAGGTACTGGAGGCTCCCCCTCCTCACCTTCAGCAGTGGTATTTATTTATTTATTTATTTATTTATTTATTTATTTATTTAATATTTTATTGATTTTTTACAGAGAGAAAGGGAGAGGGATAGAGAGCTAGAAACATCAATGAGAGAGAAACATCTACAAGCTGCCTCCTGCACACCCACTACTGGGGATGTGCCCGCAACCAATGTACATGCCCTTGACCGGAATCGAACCTGGGACCTTTCAGTCTGCAGACCAACGCTCTACCACTGAGCCAAACCAGTTTCGGCAGCAGTGTTTTAATCTAAAATTATAGCCCTTCCCTGGGATCATCAGTCTCACAGCTGATCCTTGAGTGTCTCCTTTGCTTCCCTAGTCTTCAAATCAGCTCTTAAAATACCAACTCACCTTCAGCTCAGGGTAACAAGGTAGTTTTCTGTAGCACCTTTGATCTACATGTGCCTGATCTGTAGGTATAATGTGAGCTGCAGCCACCAGTTTCGGCTGAAGAGGAAAAAAATGAAAGAGTTTCAAGAAGTCAATTATGCTCGTGTTCGTCGGCGTGGACCCCGCCGCAGCTCCTCCGACATCGCCCGTGCCAAGATCCAGGGCAAGCGACACCGGGTGAGCTGCCGTCCCAGTGCCACCTACTTTTAAAATGGCCCTAACCAGTGTGAGATCAGAACTCCGGTTTTGCATTGATTGCCTTACTCCAGATTTCAAGATCCTGACTTGTTTTTTCTTCTCTCCTCTGATTGCTGGTTTACGCATCCATTAACCCTTACATTTGAGTAGGGAACATCTAGATCATTGGTAGGAGAATCAAGAGTGATAGTTTATACTTGAAAGGCTCTTGAGAGTAGACAGGTGACTGGACATTTGCAAATGAAGTACAAATTACTTCACTGGTGATAAGATTCAGTTTTCTTCATTGCCCGACATGAACCCAAATGCAGGGTGGTTGGGGAGAGCAGAGGAAACTTATTCATGATCTCACTGTTTTTCGGTTTTCTTTATAGGGTCAAGAGGACTCTAGCCGGGGTTCAGATAATTCCAGTTATGATGAAGCACTCTCTCCAACATCTCCTGGGCCTTTATCAGTGAGAGTGGGGCATGGAGATCGAGACCTGGGGAACCCTAACACAGCTCCACCTACTCCAGAATTACACGGCATCAACCCTGTGTTCCTGTCCAGTAATCCCAGCCGTTGGAGTGTAGAGGAGGTGTATGAGTTTATCGCTTCTCTACAAGGTACTGAGGGCCTATCCGAAAGAACTCAGGTCACATATGTACTTAGTTTTCCTGAGCTCTTAGCACAGCCTTGAGAACAGGGAACATATTAAGCATAGAGGCTTGAAGGCTATATTTATATTTATTCAACGTACGTGCCGATAGGCTGGTCAACTGATTCCATCTGGATTGTCATCCTGTTATGTCAGCAATTTCAGTGTTTTTCATCTCCTATGATTCAGCTTTCTTACCAGTAATTTTTGGATAAAGCACATTTTTATGTGTGACTGTAATACCTACCATGGATAGATGACTTTCAGTGGAGGAGCCATTGTTGCCCCTGTCTTCAAAGCAGGAATGTTTATGAGCTATTCTTGACAAGGTTTTTCTCCAGAAATCACCCTGCCCTTTTTGCTATTTGTTTGAGTTCTGTGTTCTTAAACAAGTGTCACAAAGGCTCATTTGAACCTTTCTTGCCAGTGTAAAACATTTATTTTTGTTTCCACCATTCCCCCCACCTAAGGCTATTTTGAATGGTTATTTCTATGGTTAGAACTTAGTTCCTCCATAATCTTGGCTTTCTTTTAAATAGCCAGTTGCTGACTTCCTTTTCTTCCAAAGTTTATCACAAATCTTCATATTACTGAATTTAGGACACATACTTTGGGATTAACCATTGCTGTTTGCATGTTTTCTGTCTCTTCCTCCTATGTGGTGCTACCATATACTTTCTCATACATATTCCCATTTTCTTCTAGGCTGTCAAGAGATTGCAGAGGAGTTTCGTTCCCAGGAGATTGATGGACAGGCCCTTTTATTACTTAAAGAGGAACATCTTATGAGTGCCATGAACATCAAGCTGGGCCCAGCCCTCAAGATCTGCGCCAAGATCAATGTCCTCAAGGAGACCTAAGGTGGCCTTCTTGCACAAAGCAGCCGAAGGCAGACACTCTCCATTGTCCAGGCTGTCACCTGTCTGGTGTCTGGGACTTTACAGGGAATAAATGACTTTTCCAATTACGTGAATCTGTGGAGGGGATTACTAACAAAGGGAAGGAAAGCGCAAGAATTGGTTGCTGGTGCTACATGGTGGAGCTTGGACATTTTCTCTGGGTTCTACTTCATTTTCTAAAATCTTTACAGTTCTTACCATTTTCATCTATCCTATTCCAATCTTTATATAAAAATGAACTCTGTAGAGAACAAGTACTGCTCAGCCTTTTCCTGGAGTGGAGTAGCCAGGGTCTTAGTTCTCCAAGATACAGTATAGTAAGGCAAGGAAATGGGTAGAAGGCAGGTGTACCTCCCTAATGGGAGGGTTCTTACAGCTTGACACAAGCGGTAAAATTCAGTACTCCCTCTGGATTGTGACTAGCTATGGCGATTTTCTTTGTCATCACTGTTTTTTCTCCTCCATCCGTGGCAGGCTCACCAGCTAGTGTAGGCACTTGGCTGGCATCATTCTGATTTGCTGCAGGGACTAAAAGTGTTTGGCATACAAGTGGCTGTTGTCATTCTTCCTGTACCCCCCCTACTTCCTTCCAATTTATCTGTTGTCTTCTACTTTTAGTTCCAACTCTGCTGTGTCCTATAGCTTTATAAAATAGGTGTGTGGAGCTGAGGTCAGAAGGATAAATGCCTGCCCTAGGCGCTATTCCTTATACAACAAAAATATTCAATATTTTTTTCCTCTTCAGTAAAAGGATAAAAATTGGTCTCAGTTGTCTTACTCTAAACCAGCGTTTCTAGTCTCTACCTTTCACACAAATGACTAGGCCAACATGTCTTTTTTTTTTTTTTTTTAATCTTTCAAGTGTTTTTGTACAAAAATGTTAGTTTTTTTTTCTTCCTTTTTGCATTTTTAAAACACTAGAGTGTGGGGGAAGGGTGCAAACAAATAACAAAAAGATGTTTTTTTGTAACATTATTTTCCCTGTTTATAAAGAAAAAAATCATTCCAACAGTATTTAAAAGTCCAAGGATGAAATAAATTTCTCCTCTAAGGCTATGAAAGGCCCCTGCCGGAAGATTCCATCCTCTTGTGCCCCATGGAGCCAGGTTAGTCTTCAATGGCACAGGTTCACTATTAAATAAAGATCAGGCCAGGCTTCTGGGCACATGGCCTAAATAGAAAGGTGGAGAGCATTAAAAACTCCCCACAGAGATGTGGGCAAGAAGAGACTTCCCTGAGCCAGAAGCAGGGACAGGTATAGCAGAATCCCACACCCAGAGCAGAGAATGCAGGGTCCTAGGTAACCTGCTTCTATCTCATTCCCTTTCCAGATTAAAAAAAAAAAAAAAAAAAAAGTCAAAATGACATGCCTGTGAAGAAAGTGCTACATGTTTAGAAACACTGGTAAGAAAGGCTTTGACAACTTCAACTCCAAGTGGGAGAGATCACTTTCAATTTCCCTTTGTAAGACTAGGTTTGTGGATTAGGCGTTCTGGCTACATGTGGACTAATAACTGCAAGACCACAGTCCAGAGCCAAAGTTACTGTAATGCCAATGAACGACTGATGGTGCCTTATAGGCCTCTGACTGGGAAATCTCACATTTTCCCATCCTAACCCCACAGGTGGGTGAAGCGGGTCTATCACATCCCCAGGTTCAGACCAAATGACTACCTGGACTACAACCAAGTATTGACTGCAAAGTAGTCCCAAGCAGCAAGAACTTACATGCAGGTTCTCATGGAGACTACGAGCATGAAAGCAATCAAATCTTGTATAAATAAATTTTCTTTTTTTAATTAAAGAACTCCAGTTTCTCAAAAACTTGTGAAAAGGTGTTTGAAAAGGCCAGCACATCTGCCATGCTTTTGCTCGTTTAATCCTACATGTACCTTCCTATACCAAGGCATCGTGCCTTTTGTCACAGGCCTTATTATAGTACCTCTGTAGAAGGAAAAACAAAAACAGGGAACAAAGGGAAGGCATTTCTAGAGTGAGAAAAGGATGTAAACCAAAAGCAAACTGAAAGCAAGAGCAACATGAAGGGGAGGGCGAGAGGCTGCAACAGACTGCGTGAGAAATCTGGCTGGGTATGCTTTGGTTCGGGGGTCTGAAGAAGCTGGGCGTATAAAGTGCATTCACATTGGTAGTAAATGATCATCCCTTTCTTCTGAATCCTCCCCCAGCTGATCATCCCCCACACCACGGTATGTAGCAGGCACATTTCTGGGCTTCGAACGGCACACAAAGTCACAACCATCCTGTAGGGAAAGAAACAAAGGAAGAAAATGGTCATTTGGAACAACCAACTTTAGGGTAAGGCCAAGTATATTTATGGTCTAAGAATGTGTAGGCACTAGTTTTCTCCAGGTATAATGAAGAGAAACCCTCAAAGTTCAACAATTGGCCTAACTTGAATGTGGAGGACATAGGAGAAAAATTCCAATTAGGTCTTACCTTTCTATCTAGGCCCCTGACCAGCTGTATCAGATTCTTAAATCTAAGTGGCAGTGTTGCTCTTCTAGCCAAGTCTTAGCGAGGCCAGAGAGTAAGAGGCTATGCTGCTTAGTACTAGGGGCAACCAACTGACTTGGTATGCTGTGTCTCAGGAAACCTGCCTGGGCAAACCAGCTGGTTGGTCACTCAACCTTGTGTGCAGGCCACAGGCCCGGCCAGCTGCCCTGTTACTTACTGCTACCAGGTTGCCAACATCCTGCCAGAAGGCCAAGTGGGGAAACTGCTCCATTCCCTTGGCTCCCACCACCAATCGCTGGTACAGGAACCCCCCGATGATATAGACAGCAACCAGTGAGGCAAACCTGTTGAAAAAAGAGCTATACTTTAAAAAAACCAAGAAACAGCAAAACTCAGGTACTGAGGATAATGTCTGTACTCACTGTTAGCTGTTTTGTGAGCTGTGCTTTATAAAAACAAGGGGAAAAAGTAGTGAAATTAAATGAAAAAGGATTGGTAGCTTTCCTAGAAAATCAGTCTGAGAAAAGCAAGTCGCTCACAAAAAAATGACTACTTCTGCCAACAGTCACTCTTATATACATGATTCTGTCTGTCCAAAAGTTCTAATAATCTAATGCAGCAATTTTTAACCATCTGCAGCACATCAGAAAATATATTTTTTGCAAATATGACCAAAAAAAAGTGTAATTTTGACTCATTCATATCAGAGGACTATTCCTGTGTTGGTTGTTTCATTTTTTAAAAAAACTTAAAAATAACTCTTTTAATCCTCATCTTGGATACATTTAAAAAAAAAATTTAGAGAGAAGAGATGGGAGAGAGAAATATTAATCGGTTGCCTCTTGACTGGGGCTCAAAGCTACAACCCAGGTATTTACCCTGACCAGGAATCGAACCCACAACCTTTCAGTGTATAGAATGATTCTCCAACCAACTGAGCCACACTGGCCAGGGCTAAAAAACAACAACAACCCGATTTTAGAGAAAGAGGAAGGGAGAGGGAAAGAGAAGCATTGATGGCTGTCTCCTGTATGTACCCCTTCAGGGATGGAACCTGAAATTGGGCATGTGCCCTGACCGGGTTTGGGAATGACCTTTTGGTGCACTGGGATGATGCTCCAAGCAACTGAGCCACATCAGACAGGGTGGCTGTCATCATTTAAAAAAATTAAAATTTTAAAAATTGATTTCAGGGAAGGAGAAGGGGAGAGAGAAACCTTAATGATGAGAATCACTTATCTGCTACTTCCTGCGTGCCTCCTACTGGGGAACCAGCTTAAAACCTGGGCATATACCCTGACAGGGAATTGAACCATGACCTCCTGGTTCATATGTCAATGCTCTTGTAGTGAGCCACCCCAGCTGGGCTGTTGTCATTTTTCAATTTGATAATTTAAGGGAAAAGAGATCAGTGCTCTTTATTAGTCCGGATTGCATGTTTTAAAATTTCCTGTAGCACACTAGTGTATCACAGCACACTGGCTGAAAACTGCTATTCTAATGGATAGAATTAAATACTGTCCAGCCCTCCAGGAGGGGAAATGCACCTTCAAATGTGAATATTTATTATACTTTCTCTGTATAGAGTTTAATGAGGATTTTCACCCCCTAATGATCTCTCCCCGCCCTTACAAAACTTATGTCCATATGCATCCAAGAAATTACGAATTAAAAAAATACAATAAAAGGGAGCCCTGGCTGATGCAGCTTAGTTGGGAGTGTCGTCCCAGTCAGGGCACATACCCAAGCTGTGGGTTTGATTCCTGGGTTGGGGCTCAAGTGGGAGGCAATCGATGGATGTTTCTCTTTTCCTTCCCCCGTCCCTCCCTCTCTCTTTAAAAATCATTAAAAACATATAATCAGGTGAGGACTAAAACAAAAGAAAAAGAAAAAAGGGAAAGGCTTGGATTGATAAGGAAAAAAAAGAATACTTACGTGACAAGTAAGATAGAGCCCACACTGAGGTGGGAGACCTCTGGGGGACAGGCCACGCTACTCTCCATCTCAAAGAGGTAGAAACATTCTTGGATTTTGCCTCGCTCCTCAGACACAGGGATAAAATTGTCCTGATGATGAAAGGGCAAGACACATTTAAAATGTTTGGACTCCCATCTAAACAAAGAAAAACCCCCACTAAACCTCAAAACATTGTTTTCCTGGTCCAATTTTCCACGTATACTGGAAGACTGGTATCTCGATACAGGGAAGAATTGAACCTCGAGTTTCCCCTATTCCATCCCAAAGTATCTGTACCCTCTGGAAAGTCTCTCCCACCTCAGGTAAGTCCTGGTATCTCGTTAGGCTCACATGCCCCAGGGCGCCTCACCGCTAGGGTATGTCGATTGCAGGAGATCATCACCACTGCACGGCGCTGCTCCTTGCCACAGTGATTGTCATATTCATCACCCCCTTTATAGATCAGCATAATCCAGTTACCTGGGAGGGACAAGGAAAATGGAGCTTTGGGGGTGGGGGAAAAGCAGAGGCAGACCTGGATACTGTGGTAAGATGGAATTGGGACGTTCAGACACATTGGTTTTAATTAAAATAACTCTCATCAATATGAACTCTGAACACTGGAAATGCCAAGCTAAAACTTGCTCTATATTCCCTGGCTTAGATAACTAAGAAGTTGTTTAATATTCATACAAGAATCTTAATTTTCACCTTAGGCAGTTTGGCTCAGTGGATACAGCATTGGCTGGGGACTGAAGAGTTCCAGGTTCAATTCCGGCCAAGGGCACATGCCTGGATTTCGGGCTCAATGCCCAGTAGGGGGGTGCAGGAGGCAGCCGATCAGTGATTCTCTCTCATCACTGATGTTTTTATCTCTCTATCCCTCTCTTCCTCTCTGAAATCAACAAAAATTTTAAAAAATCAATCAATTAAAAGTAAAATCTAATTTTCCACATTAAAGGCAGATTACTGATAGTACAAAACGAACTGTGATCCATTCCTTAATAATGGTGCACATTTGCTGACCACCTGCTCACATCAAAGGAAGAGGCCCCTTACAGTTAGTGGGTGGCAGGGAAAGCCCAAGATTTAAATTAGCCACAGAGAAGTTCAAAGTGGCTGTTTTTTAAGATTGGGAGGCAGTTCTTCTTCTTTTCCTTCCTCTTCTTTTTTTCAGTATCTACTGTGTTCAAATTTCTTTTGCAAAATATTTGATTCAAAAAGTCATGTAGGCTCAGTAAGGTAAGGATTCTGCTTCCAATTTTGTATATATGAGAACAGTAAAAAAGGTAAAATTATTTCTCAGTCACTAAAGTCAATATAAAATGGGTCAAAACTCAGTCTTTTGTCATTTATATTATTTAGGGGGATAATTTATCAGCTCCAGGCAAAGGTGGGGAATGCCTGGCCGGAGGGCTGCGTAAGGGCAGGGAAAGCATTTGGTCTGGCTCCACCAAGGCTTTAGGGGTGAGTTAATTCAATGTTTGGCCAAATATAGGCGGCTAACTTTTATTTTATTTATTTATTTATTTTTTTGAATATATTTGATTTTTTTTTTTTTTTTTTTTTTTTTTACAGAGAGGAAGGGAGGGATAGTGTTAAAAACATTGATAAGAGAGAAATATCAATCAGCTGCCTCCTACACAGCCCCTACTGGGAATGTGCCCGCAACCAAGGTACATGCCCTTGACTGGAATCGAACTAGGGACCCTTCAGTCTGCAGGCCGACACTCGATCCACTGAGCCAAACTGGTCAGGGCAGGAGGCTAACTTTTAAATTGATAATGGCCTGCAAATGATATAACAAATATCCAAATGGCCCTTGGCAGAAAAAAAGTTCCTCAGGCCTGCCTTAAGGGAAAGAATCCTATAGGAGAGGAATATGCTAATTATCCGTTACACCATAACATCACAACCAATCTACAAATGGTGGAAAGCTACAGGAGGGCAGGACAGCAAGCTAGGAACAGGGAGAGCTACAAGAGGGCGGAGCAGTGAGCTACAAGCAGTAGAGGGACTAGCGGTGATGGGCAAGTGGCCAGCCGAGGCAAGCGGCAGCGAATCCGTGGTGGTGGGCGGGTGGCCAGCCGAGGCAAGCGGCAGCGAGCTAGACTGTAAGTGCTTACGTAATCTTTTCCAGCAATAAGACTGACTTTTGAGAAATATTATCACCATCATTATCACAAGTTGGTGGAGAAATTTTTGTAGACTGGTTTGCAAAACTTGACCTCTTATAACTTAACTGGCAAAGTTTGATTAATCTGATGAGAAAAGGTCGTGGTTGACATTTTCAAGCCCCAGTCTATATAATTCCATTAAATTCTTCTTCTTTTTTGCGTAAGCTTTCCCCTAACTTTAAAACAAACACATAAATTCCTGGGCATTGGCTCAGAGGAGCTGTGGAACTAGGTACCCTGTGGTTTAATGCTGTACCACACATACCATATGAAATTCTGAAGAATTTGGGGGAGACATATAGGATTGCCTGAGAGACGGATTTGGGATCAATTGATCAGACAACAGTGAGAGTCTTACTTCCATTGTAGATGTGAGTCTCGTTGATTCTCCCCACCACAGTCTCCTTCCCGTTACTTTTGTTGATCTGCACCAGGCCTGCCCCGGAGGAGTGGTTACCAGCTTCCCTGCACACTCTGAATTTGTAAATATAGGTGTCTTGGCCCTGGCCCACAGTGCTCTCAAAGCTGTCAGGAAGTGAGGAGAAAGAAGAGGAGAGTTACTGGCTATTAGCCTTTCTTCCTTTTACCCTCCAACCTCTGATCCCCAAAAAGGTGCATTCAATTTATCTGATGTCATGGCTAAATGTAACAGTGAATATTTGCGAAATCTTGAGACAACAATGACCCTGGATAGTCTTCCTGCATATTCACCAGAAGAATGATGAATAAGACATAAAACAGCCATAGTATCTAAAATTGGCATTATCTACTTTAATGTCTCATCAATTAGGACAGACAATCCTAATTGTTGATGATGACCGATTTAAATATGCCACTCAGACAGCTAGATATTCCTAGAGTATCTCTGCTCTGGACTATGCTAAAGTGCTAGCTACCATTTCCCTATGAATAAGGGTCTATGTTCATGAGATATTCTCTTGTTCCTTCATCTCATCTTCAGATTTATAGAACTGAAGTTTCTCGACACTGATGATGACATGCATAGGCATACATATGCTTATCTGATACTTCTAAAGTCCTACTACATGTAAGAATTTAATAATGCTTTTTAAATTTCTACAAGCTGGTCTCTTGGATCCAGCCTTAGAAGCAGCTATTCTTCTGCATTAGAGAAATACATAATGCTACAAAAACTGGGTGAGAATTTGCTCTGTATCATAAAAGTAAGCATGATAGAACCAGCTATCCCAGATAAAGATAGAGGGGAGGATATTATACATGTATTCCCTCCATATTCAATAGTAATACCAAAATAAAATCAGTAAGAGTTGAAAGAGTCTTTTAAAAAAGCCCTTCTTTGCCCTGGTTGTTTCTCAGTGGTTAAAGCACTGACCCACACACCGAAGGGTCTCAGGTTCGATTCCCCATCAAGGGCACATACCCAAGTTGCAGGCTAGACCCCCAACTCCCTTCAGGGCATGGGTGCCTCAGGGCACTTGCGGGAGGCAACCAATCGATGTGTCTTGATGTTTCTTTCTCTCTCTCCTCTCCCTCCCTGCCATCCTCCTAAAATCAATGGAAAAAATATACTGGGGTGAGGATAACGACAAAAAAGCCCTTCTCTGGTATCACCTATAACCACCTCCCTCCAAGAGCCCCTGGGCCCGGGGTACTGGGGGATAGGGAGGGGGAGGTTAGTGTCTATCGGGTCCTGGGGTCCGGAGATCTGGGGACTATCTAAAGTTGGAGAGCTGGGTCTGTGGAGGTGGAATGAGTACCATAGGTTGTCTGGAGAGGCTAAGGAGGGAAAAAAATTATTTTCTTTAGCTCGTTAAGGTTCTTCTCAATTTTACCTTTTGGTGAACAGTGGTGTCATTCTCTTCAGTACAGCCAACTCTCTCTCTGATTCTTTACCCGTTTCTCCTACCAGGTCGCAGGTTTTTTCTTCTGCCTGCCAGGATTCTCTTACCGTGATGGCCAGGAGGAGCAGAGGCAGCAGTCCAGTCCCCCAACAGCTGTAGAAGGGGGACATCCTTTTGGGAGAAAGTGTGTGTGCTGGGAGAAGCGGGGAGGATCCAGAAGAGAAGGGAAAGAGATAAGGCATATGAATGTGTGCCAAATGAAAGGGATTTTTTAAACCTTTTTATCTTCCACCTATCACCTCATAGTTTACAATAGCCAGTTTTCTTCATTATGGTGAAGTAGGTTTTGTTTCTTGTATCTGCCTATTTCAGACTTTTGGCTCTCATCCAAGTTATTTTCCCATCTCCTAATATCCTCAATTGGATTCTTAGGTCTCTACGCTTCTTACCTTCCTCCCTGCCCCAACTTATTTTGAAAGCCTCTCTAGCTGACACTATTGTTCACCTGCTGTCCTTCCTGTGCCCCTTCGGGACAGGAAACAATGTACATTCAGCAAAGAGGGCACTGCTGGCCTTGATGAAGAGTTACTGTCTACAGGCTGTTGTTGATAATTTCTGCAAGGCGTGCTTAAAAAGAATATCTCAACTTCCAAAGCAGTTTACCAACTCCTCAGTTCTACTGGGGGAAAAAGACACATTTTTTGTTGTTTTGTTCTAGAAACTGTCAGAAGGACCAACCAAGGTACAGAATACTTAGGTTCTACCAATGAATGATATTTCGATTATGCAGCAAGTGTAAGATTCTTCGGCATATGCAACAAATAGCAGATTTTAATATCTCTCTGCCAAAAGCAACTGCATTAGGAAGCTCATACATATAACCTTCAGTCTATTTCATAGGTAAATCCAGAAAGGAAGAAGAATGATGACGGCCTAAGTATAGACATCCTTGCCTCTTTACTGTTTGGTGAAGTTAGATTGCGATAGCTCACTTAAAGTTTAATATTTTAAACATTGTGCAGTTTCACTATACCGGCCATGCAAGGCTTAAACTTTGACACAAGAATATGCTCCTGGCAGGATCAAACAAGTTTTGCAGCCACATATTTAAAGGGAAGAGGTTGAGGCCAGAGGGATGGGGGCTCTGCCTGAAACTTGCCATAAACATAGGAAATGGACAGCTGAGAAGTGTGTGCAGGGGCTAGAGTTCATAAATACTGCTTAAACCAGTGGCCCTCCCTAAGATAACATTTAAATTAGAACCTGACACTTGATAGGGTCTGTAACACTCAAATTACACGTTGGCACTTGAAAGGTTCTGTTTGAAAGCTATTAAAAAAGATATAAAAGAAAGAGACTGAATACTTTGGGCCCTGTCTTATACTGATACCAGAGGCCCAGTGCACTGGTATGGGGAAGGGATCCCTCAACCTGGCCTGTGCCTTCTTGCAGTCTGGGACCTCTCAGGGGATGTCTGCCTGCCAGCTTAGGCCCGCTCCCCGCTAAGCTGGCAGGTGGACATCCCCCAAGGGGTCCTTAGCGCTGCCTCGGAGGCAGGAGAGGCCCCCGCCATGGTTGCTGTGCTCGCCAGCTGTGAGCCTAGCTTCCGGCTGAGCAGCACTCCCCCTGTGGAAGCACATTGACCACCGGGGGCAGCTCCTGTGTTGAGCATCTGCCCCCAGGTGGTCAATGCGCGTATTAGTGACCAGCTGACTGGTCGTTCAGTTGTAATGGTTGCTTAAGCTTTTATTTGTATAGATAGGAAGAAAATTCACCAGGTCAAAATGAGTAGTTTGAAGAAGTCTTCCAAAGATCAACTTAGGCTCTACAAGTTACAAATTTCAAGAATTTCTAGACGTCCAGTAAGTACAGCTATTTTTCTATACTCCAAATTCCTGACAATCCCTGGGGGTCACCAAGTCGCTTTACAATTTAGTAAATCTAATTGACTTGCTGCTTGTACTGCTCTAGAATAGAAACATGGGGCCCTGTTTCCCAAACTCATTTTCTTTTATCTATCTTCATACCTAGGACACACTGATTTACCTCTGTAAAAAAGACTTCACTCTGGTATCATTAATGACCCTTTAGGCCATTGCTATTTGTTAATTTCATAACAGTATCATTAATTTTTCTGATACAAAGATTTAATTCTTTCTAATCTTTCTCATCCTATATAATAAAAGGGTAATATGTCATTCCCTAATGGTGGAATGACAGGTGGCTATGATGCGCACTGACCACCAGGGGGCAGATTCTCAACGCAGGAGTTGGTCCTTGGAGGACAATGGGCTTCCACAAGGAGGGTGCCGCTCAGCCAGAAGCTGGCTCATGGCTGGCCAGCGCAGCAGTGTTGGCGGGAGCCTCTCCCTCCTCTGTGGCAGTGCTAAGGATGTCCAACTAACACTTAGCGGTTAGTTGGACATCCCCTGAAGGTTCCCATGCTGCCAGAGGGATGTCTGACTGACAGCTTAGGCCCAATCCCCCAGGGAGCAGGCCTAAGCTGGCAGATGGACATCCCCTGAGGGATCCTGGACTGTGAGAGGGTGCAGGCCAGGCTGAGGGATCTCCCCAAGTGCATGAATTTTCGTGCACCAGGCCTCTAGTTTACAATAAATGCTTCCAATATTCCAAATCTGGACTTTGGTTCCATTACTCTTTAAAGTCCTCTAATTCTTTTCCATGCTTGCCCACTACCTTCGCTGCATTTTTAGAATAAAAATCCTGAAAATAGGTAGAATTTAAGGTATACCAATAAGTTTAAAGATAGGAAAATGGAAGCTCTGCGCCCTGAATGCATTTTCTCCACTCCCCTAAACAAGTTCACATTTGACCTACGGTTTCCCACACTCCACCAGGACAACAAATGCATGGAAAGTTGTCTCCTTGACTTTGTGTACTCCAAACATTAATCCACTACCGTAATATTAATAAGGTGTTTCCACAGAAGATTTAAAGCCAACCATAAAGTCTGAGGGTTCCATAACCACATTGAACACACCAATAGGAAACACTTTGAGTGCTTGCCTTCTGCCAGGCATTGTTTGAAGCACTTCACATACATTAATTAACCCTTACAAAAACCCTATGCAGTCAATACAATTACGGTCCCTATTTTACAGATGAGACAGAGACAGTAGAGTGAACCAGATAAGAAATTTCCACCGTCTTTTCTCAGAGCTGACAGTCTATGTCTACGCGCTCTATGCATTATCTGTCTCCTTTCACATCAATTTTTGTGTGGGACCAGAGTAGGCAGCCAAAGCTTTGCTTTCTTTTTGACAAAGCAAGAAGGGGAATGGGAAGGGGAAGTGACGCCTCACAGAGTTCACTGTCTAGGAGGTGGAATAAAGAGCTCAGACCTCAAACTCCTACCTTCCCTAAATTAACTCGTTGCTCAACACACAACATGACCCGCTGAGTTACTGAAGAGAAACAAAAGATACCCTTTATTAGACTGATTCAGCACTCCATTTTCCTTACATTCTCTAAGGACCTAATTTAAAGTTTCAACATTCTAGGCTTTCAAGATTTTTCTCCTCAGGACCAGTTTTTCTAGAGGGATGTTCAAACAGAAAGCTGTGTTCTTTGGCCTCAGCGTCAGTTCCTCATCCGTTAACAGCTGATGATTTATGCTCCCAAATTAGAACAAAGAATCTCACAAAACCGGAAAGGACGAACGGTCAGCACTGCGGTCAGCACTAACTGAGTTAAACTAGTTTTCATGTGTTTATTGGTTCAAAAAGTTAGGATGAGAATCAATTTATACTCTTCTCTTTCTGGCTTAAGGTTTGACTACATGCTGGCACTGCTTCTCTCCGGTTCAGTGGCACGTGCTGAGCGCTATATCTTAAGATTACGTTCCTTAATCTTCACAACCCAGAAAAGCAGATATCATTTCTCCCGTTTTAAAAATGAGGAAGCTGATGCTTTACAGCGGTTAAGTTACTTGCCCTCGGTTATATTAAGTATTAAATACGTACGAAGTTACTGGAGCAATTTGGGCGATTCGTGGCATAAAGGCAGTCGCTGGAAATTTTCTGATAAGTACAGGGGTGCAAAAATGTATTAGGAAGAGTCTGAAATCCAAGGGCTCTTCAATGCACTACCATTAGATCCTAAGGTGGGGATGTGCCTAGATTATTTTGGAAACGTGGGGCAGGGCTGTAGATTTTGAAAAGCTCCCTTCCCGTTTTCTTATTATGTGACAAATCTATTTGGCAAGGCCATAAAATTCTTCATCGGTGGGATGATCAAAAACTAAACCAGGAACTGGGGAGCAACTTCCATCCCTGAGTCTCTCTGTACCCTCTCTTCCTCACCCAAGACCTGGCCATGAGTTCCACTATTCAACGAAATTTCCACTGTCTTGTCCTCTGACTCATTTCTGATGTACACACCAGTCCTTCTCCTCTGTCTCCCACCCCCTACACTTAGAGAAGAAGCAGCCTAATTAGATCAAAAAGCCTGAGGAGTAGCTCCTATGTCTCAAGGGCAGAAGCTCGCTACCAAGAGAAACACAGGAAGAATCCCTGTCCTGGCTGCCCTTCCCTACACCACACACTCATCTACCCGCTCTCCCCCCATTTCCCCCCCCCCCCCCCGCCCCCAACTTCTCCCAAGGGGTCTAGGAATTCTAGTTTCCTAACTTTCCAACTGCCTGGGGCCATTGCTGCTACTTTACCTCCCTCTGCGACGCGGGCCAACATTCCTCCCAAGGTATCCAGTGACACCTAGGGACTTTCTCCTCCTTTCCCCTCCCTTCCAAATACACGTAAATCCCCTCCATGGCCTGGGGGTGGGAGGTGGGGGTGGGTCCTTTCTCATCACTCCCTTCCCACTCCGTGACTCCGGCCCCCTCGCCTACGCCTCCATCCCGCTCCAGGGCTCCTTGGCTGTGTTTTGGGCTGGAAACCCGGACCAGGGGGACTTCCTGATCCCGGTCCCCCCGTCACAAGACGCCGAGGTGTGAGCGATCACCCAGCCCTCCTACTCACGTGCCGGGGGCAAAGGGAGCAGCCGAAGTTCAGGCTCCCCAGGGGAGTACCCGTCCGGGGCCGGGAGACAGGGCCAGCGAGGGGCCAGCCGCAGACCCCGATCCCAGAGGGCTTGTCACAGCCAGCGTCCCCCGGCGGCGCCTCGCGGTGCTCCGCTCCGGGAACCGGAAACA